AAGGAAAGGAAAGGAAAGGAAAGGAAAGGAAAGGAAAGGAAAGGAAAGGAAAGATGACAGCTTTTCATTTGGATTTGTTTGTGGAGCACAGTAAAATACATGGGAAAATGTGAATTTCAATGAAATACGAATCTAGGGTTTATTGTTAGGTTTACATGGCGTCATGGCCAAAAAGTAAGGTTTGTTAAGGAAGGTATAGTTGACACCTTTACGTTCTGAATTGTTTGTGGATCATTGGAAAATACATTGGAAAATCCTAGTAGTATTGAAAAATAATCTATGGTCAGGGAGTTAGTGTTAGGTTTACTTAGAGTCATGGTTGTAAATTACTGTTCAGAATATATTCTTAGAGATTTCCTAAGGAAAGTGATATTGACATCTTTTGCTCTACTGCTCTTCCTGGACCCTTGCAAAATACATGGGAAAATCACATTTCCAATTAAAATGAAAGAAAGTCAGATTTAGGTCTACTTAGAGCCTGGTGCAAAATTTTTTGCTAGAGTAGATTTCTACAACTTTTGAAATGGAACAAAGTTGACAGGTTTTCATTTGTACTTGTTCTTTATGGACCACAGTTAAATATGTCAGAAAATCCATTTGCAAATGAAAATTAATCTGTGGTTAGGGTTAAGTCTACTTGGAATGATGGCCAAAAACTTATGCTAGGGATAAATTCTTAGCTGTTTCCTAAGGAAATTAATGTTGACATCTTTTAAGATTGACATGAGCTTTATTGTCATTTTTTTTTATTCTGAGCACATTGGCACACATTAAAAATGAAATTCTGTTTCTTGCTCTCAAAAGAAAATGTATTACCCAGACCCCATACCATGTTTTCTCCAAAACAAGACCTGAAAATATGCTGTAGCGTGATTTTTACATGTGTGGTTAATATAAGCCCTACCCACAAAATAAGTACCACTTAAGAGCCTGCACACCCATCCAGGCTAAGTGGTTGCTCGCAGTGCCGCCAAGGCACGTGGGGGGGAGGGGGTGGAGCTGCCCCGCACCAGCTTATTTCAGGGCCCTTGCAGCTAGGCCATCCACGCCCTGACAACTGCCTCACGGTGGCAGCACTGGTAGCCATGTCCAGCGGGAGCCCACATCCAGCACACTTCTTCTGCTTTGCTCATGACCACAACGGAGCAGGAAGTTGAGCTAGGCACCAGTGCTGTGGCCACGATGCTAGACAGATGTCAGGGTATGGATGGCCTGGCGGGTGGGGCCCTGACTAAGTTCTCTTTAAATTTTTAAAATTTAAAGTAAAAATAAACTTTTTTATTTACAGATCCAGGACATGAAGAAGAGAAAATGGATAGTATGGAAACCAGCATTTTAGGTGAGGCTTATTTTGTAACTTCATTTTGGAATTGTTACAATTTCCTTATATTTGGTGGGTATTCCTCTTGACGGAAATGTAATTCATAAAATGGAATGCATTCTGCAATTTATTCATGAATTAATGTATGCTGCTGTATCATTAAAATAACTACAATAGTGATGGCTAACCTTTTTCTCATTGTGTGCCGAAAGTGTGTGCATGCCTACACCCATAATGCAATGTGTGTGTGACCCCCTCCCACTCACCCCACACCCTGCGTATGTGCATGCGACCCCCCCCAGTAGGCCCAAAATGAAGTGGGGGGCGCTGCACCCCCTGTCCCCGAGCATTGTGCACGCAACCCCCAGCACTCCCCCATCGCTGCAGATACATGTCTCCCACATGCACCCCGCCCCTTGTGCATGCACAGCAGAGACCTGAAAATCAGCTGGCCAGTGGGACCCCCCTAATAGGCCCAAAATGAAGTGTAGGAGGGCGCGCTGCACTCCCCCATGCTTCCCCTGCCCCCGAGCATTGCGCACGTAACCCCCAGCACTCCCCCATCCCTGCACATATACACATGTCTCCCGCATGCACCCTGCCCCTTGTGCATGAGCGACAGAGACCCAAAAATCAGCTGGCCAGTGGGAGGTGCACATGCATGCGTGGTGAAGCTGAGTTGGGGCGACGGCTCGTGTGCCCGCAGAGAGCCATAGGATCGCCATCATGGAACTATAATGTCGACCCTGAAATACCTCATGCTCCCCAAAATTGCTTCCCACCCACCCAACTTGCTGCACCGGGTCACTTACCGTGCAAAGATCCAGCAAGCAGTCTTCTCTCCAGCCTCTCAGCTTTTGTTTAGGCTTGTGCAGGCCTTGCCTGGCACGTTGCAAACCGAAATGGAGCATCAGAGGGGCGGATCCACCTCTCCAGCGCTCCATTTTGGCCTGCAACGTGCCGGGCGAGGCCTCCAGAGTCCCAATGGAGCAT